CGGGCTCCCTGCTCCGTGGGAAGCCTGCTTCTCGCTCTCCCACTCCCCCTGCTTGTGTTCCCTCTCTCTCTGTGTCTGTCAAATAAATAAAATCTTTAAAAAAAAAAAAAAAAGAATATGACCCCCTTTTTATCTTTTTTTCAAGTTTTTATTTAAATTCCAGTTAGTTAACATACAGTGAAATGTTCGCTTCAGGCGTAGAATTTAGTGATTCATCACTAACACAGAGTACCCAGGGTTCATCACAGCAAGTGTCGGTCCTTAATACCCATCGAATCCATGCCCCCACACCCACCTCCCCCTCCAGCAATCCTGTTTGTTCTCATAGTTAAGAGTTTGTTTTCTGGGGGCGCCTGGGTGGCTCAGTTGGTTAAGTGTCTGCCTTTGGCTCAGGTCATGATCCCGGGGTCCTGGGATTGAGCCCCACATCGGGCTCCCTGCTCGGGGGGAAGCCTGCTTCTCCCTCTCCTTCTGCTGCCGCTCCCCCTGCTTGTGCTCTCTCCCTCTCTCGTTCTGTCAAATAAATAAATAAATTCTTAAAAAAAAAAGTTTGTTTTCTGGTTTGCCTCTACCTTTTCTTTCCCCATGTTCATCTGTTTTGTTTCTTAAATTCCACATACGAGTATGGTATTTGTCTTTCTCTGACCGATCGTTTTTAATTTATAAGAGAGAGTGCGCAAATGTGCGCACACCAGACAGAACTGGACTTCAGTTCTGGCTGTGTCATCTACTAGTTGTGTAGACTTGAGCAAGTTTCTTAACCTTTCTATGCTTCAGTTTCCTCATGTTTAAGATAGCAGTAACAGTATGTGTCCTATAGAGTTCTTACGAGAATTAAATGAGTTAATAAATGTATTCAGAATAGTGCTTAATTGACAGGATGTTCCCAAATGTTAGCTATTTTTCTTTCTTTCAGCACACACTTATTAAGCACCTACGATATACCAGGTCTATGGTAGACATTAGGTACACAAAGGTGAGCTTAAACATGGTCCTGGCCCTATAGGAAGGACAGGCCGTAAACAATAAACATACTTTTATGAAATCACAATTTGAGAAACACACACTAGGAAAAAAATAGACTATATGACAGATACTACTTGGCGAGAAGGACCAGGAAAAACGTCTCTCCAAGGATACAGCATTTATCCATATCCTGGATGCTAATTAGGAGCTAATGACAGAAGGGGGTAGAGGCTGTAAAAGCAGTACAGACAAACGGGACTGCACTGGTCTTTGGTTTATCCTTTACATTTTCTTTAACAAAATGGAGATTGTGCCATATCGACTATTCTGCAACAGCTCTCCGTATCAATACATCTTATTCCTCTATGACAGCTGTATATTATGGAAGTGCCACAACTTAATTAACCCATTCCCTATAGATGACTATTTGCTTCCAATTTTTGGCTATTGCAAATAAAACCACAAACACCTCTGTGATACACCTTTACTTGTGAAACTGATGCATACATTTCTATAATTGGGTCAAAGGAGTAAATAATCAGAAAAAACAGAACTATGTTCATTTTGTTAAAAAAAATTTATTGATGCCTCTGCCCTCTGATGGCTCTCTAATACTTTAAGCTTAAGGTCATTTATTTCTTTTGTATCTCTCCCACTTTGTCCAGCCCTCAAATAATACTTGTCAAAGAGGTTCCAGAGCCCCGCATTTACCCACCCCCTACGGACTTGCTAGAACAGGTGCCTACCTCAGGTCATTCTTGAGTTCCACGACCACATCCTTGCCCACCAGGGACTTGAAAAAGGAATAGAAGAGCTATTGGGCGAGAGAGGAAAAACCATCACCTGTGACGGTACACGGTAGGAAGGAGTGTCCCTCCCTCTGCTAGTATTCCCAAATACTGGTATTGAGATCTCCACCACATCTCTGGCAGTTCTCAAAACTTTACGGGAAACAATACTCTGACAGGGATGACCGGCTGGAGCCCAAATACACTTCACTGAGCATGACTTAAAGCTCCAGAAAGACGCTCTGCCCGGCACCCCTCGGGCTCTCCGGGTCGGTCTCTCAATCGACCACCTCTCCTGGGCTCCTGCCCACCCCCGCAACCCCCCACTCCCAGTGGGCAGAATTGTAGAAAGCATCCCGTTCTCACCCTCCCAAAGCCTGGCCTCCGTCACAGAAATACTCCCTGAGGTCTAGCTCTTCCCTCCCCTCCTGTCCCCAACTCTCCCGCGCGTTTCTTTTGTTTTTTTCCCCGCATAAGGGGGAAAAAAAAAATCCCATTTGCTCCCAAGTGTGTCCCCCCAGAATGCGAGGCGTAGGAACTAAAAACAGAGGGCAAACCCCAGGGCCCAACTCCGGCCCCGAGGGTCAAAGCCTAGACGACCCCCCGACACACACCCCCCCCGCCGCGCGCCGTCTCCAACCGTCCGGCCCGCCCGCGCTCCCCCAGGGCGCCCCCTTGTGACGTCACGGTACCTACCATGGTGCTCAAGCCGCTGGCTGCCGGCCGGACCGGGAAGGCGAAGGCAGGGAACCGCAGGCCTGGGGTCGGGCGGCAACCGGGAAGCGAGCCCGCGCGTGGGGCGGGACGGAATCGCGCAGGCGCAGCGAGAAAAGCCACGGAAGCTCTGAGTAATGGCAGGCGCGCGCGGCAGACTCGCGGCTCCGGGAAAGCCGACAGGGGAGAGCCGAGGGGGCGTTTAAGCCGGGAAAGGGGCGGGTCTTCCTGCCTTCCCACTTCCTCCCGGAGTGGCGGGCTTCCACCACGCAGGCGCGAGCCCGAGCTGTTACCGAGTTTTGAAGAGGCTCCTCGCCTTTCCGGGGTTTTTACTTGATAGTGCCGCCCACGGTGCTAACACCCTACAGACACTCTTTTGAAAACTGTCGAGGAACTTGGGAAAACTCCTGATTTGTGCACTTTTCTATATCCGTTACACTTCGATAAAAAATAAAATAAAATGTTGCAGAGTCGCCGAGATTAGGAGCCAGAGCACTAATCTTGATTTTATCAAAGGTTCCCAATAAACATTTTTCTCCCAAGGACCCAATCTCAGTCCATGTTTCTTACACCCTTTTGCCTAGGGCTATCCTGTAAAGGACTGAGTAAAACCAAAGAGAAGCTTGCTCAGGGGTAGAAATTCCTATTCTAGTATTTCACTTCCAAATACGCCCCCTCAAACACTAAAGGACACAAGTGCACAGTTACACAGACTTCTATATTCATGCCCCTAAGGGTTTTATAAAGATGTGATATTATGACACAATAGGTGAAAATACTTTTTTCAAGGAATAAGACTGCTAAATCCATTTCTCATCTTGCAGAAAAGTATCCATACGTCAGCAGTTTGTTGTAAAAATGTTTTCTGCATGTAAAGGATGTAATAATAGACTCTATGAGTATACAGATGTTGGGTGTCCTAGACCCCACCTATAAATGTCATAAGGACATCAAGCAGAAGTTTGTTCCCCCCAGTTAAACCCTAAGCACCTAAACCAGTCTATCACTGAGTACAAGCAGAAACTATAAATAGCAACTGCTCTAGCTGGAGCTAAAGGTGCCTGATGATCAAAAGTTATTTTCCTGCTTGAAACAATTAGTTCATGATAATTCAAGTACTTTCCCCTTACCAGTTTAATCATTCACAATGATTTCACAATCAGACCACACTCACACTCTTCATGAAATCTTCTTTACCTTACTTTTCAAGGTACGCTCACAGTCTATAAAGATACCAGAAGAGGGGTGCCTGGCTGGCTCAGAAGAGCACACAACTCTTCATCTTGGGGTCATGAGTTTGAGCCCCACAGTGGGTGTGGAGACGACTTAAATAAATTAATTTAAAAAAATAGGGGCTCCTGGGTGGCTTAGTCATTTGGGCATCCGACTCTTGGTTTCGGCTGAGGTCATGATCTCAGGGTGGTGGGATGGAGCCCATAGCAGGCTCTGAGCTCAGTGTGGAGTCCGCTAGGGTTTCTCTCTCCTCTGTTCCTCCCCTCAGCGTTCTCACATATGTTCACGCATATGTGCATGCTCTCTCTAAAATAAATCTTTAAAAATAAAAAAATAATAAACTTAAAAATAGTAAATCAATAAAGATACCAGAATAAATTTGTTTTAGGAACAAATTTACTGAGTGACATTTAACCATCCACACAGGAAGAAAGTTGGGGAGGTCGGAAATAAATGACATTCGAATTCATCAAATGGTTCAGAGGGGCCTAGTTTTCCTAAGAGTCAGAAACATGGATTGAGAAAAGATGGTATACAAGACTCTTTTGTCAGAATCCGAAGGGATGGTAACTTAGGTCCAGGACAGTCAATTCAGTAATCATAACAATGTTTGAAAATGAGGGCAACAAAATTCACCTTAGAGGCACCCTAGAACCCTCCAGCTCCAGATAAGATTAATCTACTTCTTCAATGGTGGGGCCTGTGGCAGCCCTTCCAGGAGTATACCCCGTCCCACAGGAAGGCCCGGTGCATCCTCCCTGGTAGAGTTTTGTGATGATTGGGTTACACACCTGCTCCAATTCCTTTCTCTTATGATCAAACTCCTCTTTCTCAGCCAGTTGATTGGCCTCCAGCCACGAAAGGACCTCATTACATTTATCCAGTATTTTCTTTTTATCAGACTCACTAATCTTGCCCTTCAAGCCTTCATCACTCACAGCACTCTTCATGTTAAAAGCATAAGATTCTAAAGCATTTTTTGCAGAGATTTTCTCTCTCTGGACCTCATCCTCTGCTTTATACTTCTCAGCATCCAGAACCATGCGCTCAATCTCCTCCTTGCTCAGGCGGCCCTTGTCATTGGTGATGGTGATCTTATTGGCCTTGCCTGTGCTCTTGTCCATGGCTGTTACATTGAGAATACCATTAGCATCGATGTCAAAGGTCACCTCGATCTGGGGCACTCCCCTGGGTGCAGGAGGGATTCCAGTCAGGTCAAAGCGCCCCAGGAGGTTGTTGTCTCGGGTCATGGCCCTCTCGCCCTCATACACCTGGATCAATACCCCAGGCTGATTATCTGAATAGGTGGTGAAGATCTGCGTCTGCTTGGTGGGGATGGTGGAGTTGCGCTTGATCAGGACCGTCATGACGCCCCCAGCCGTTTCCAACCCTAGGGACAAGGGAGCCACATCCAACAAAAGCAGATCCTGTACCTTTTCAGACTTGTCCCCCATCAGGATGGCTGCCTGCACCGCTGCCCCATAGGCCACGGCCTCGTCAGGGTTGATGCTCTTGTTGAGATCACGACCATTAAAGTAGTCCTGCAGCAGCCTCTGAACCTTAGGGATACGAGTGGAGCCCCCCACTAACACAATGTCATGGATCTTAGCCTTATCCATCTTGGCATCCCGAAGAGCCTTCTCCACAGGTTCCAGAGTGCCTCTAAACAGGTCTGCACACAACTCTTCAAACCGGGCTCTGGTGATGGACGTGTAGAAGTCAATGCCTTCATAAAGTGAATCAATTTCCAAGTTGGCCTGGGTGCTAGACGACAGGGTCCTCTTGGCCCTCTCGCAGGCGGTGCGCAGCCGCCTCACGGCCCGCTTGTTCTGGCTGATGTCCTTCTTGTGCTTCCTCTTGAACTCCTCCACGAAGTGGCTCACCAGCCTGTTGTCAAAGTCCTCCCCTCCCAGGTGGGTATCCCCAGCTGTGGCCTTCACCTCAAAAATTCCATCATCTATGGTCAGGATGGACACATCAAACGTGCCTCCACCTAGATCAAAGATCAAGACATGTCGCTCTCCCTGACCTGCTTTATCTAAGCCATACGCAATGGCAGCAGCTGTGGGTTCATTGATAATTCTTAGCACATTGAGACCTGCAATCACGCCTGCATCCTTGGTGGCCTGGCGTTGAGAATCATTGAAATACGCTGGTACAGTGATCACAGCATTGGTAACGGGGTGGCCCAAAAAAGCCTCAGCAGTCTCCTTCATCTTCGTCAGTACCATAGAAGAGATTTCCTCAGGATAGAAAGCTTTTTTCTCCCCTTTGTATGACACCAATACCTTGGGCTTGCCTCCTTCATTGATTACTTGAAAAGGCCAAAGTTTCATATCTGATTGCACTACAGGATCATTAAACTTCCTGCCAATCAGACGTTTGGCATCAAAGACTGTGTTCTGCGGATTCATGGCTACCTGGTTCTTGGCGGCATCCCCAATGAGCCGCTCGGTGTCAGTGAAGGCCACGTAGCTGGGGGTGGTGCGGTTGCCCTGGTCGTTGGCGATGATCTCCACCTTGCCGTGCTGGAACACCCCCACGCAGGAGTAGGTGGTGCCCAGGTCGATGCCGATGGCCATTCCCTTAGCAGCAGCCATGGTCTTCCGAGGTCTGAGAAGAAAAAATGAGGTAAAGTTTTGGCACAGTGCTTTTTTATTTTATTACTTTCAATTGTGGTAAAATACACATAATTTGAAATTTACCATCTTAACCTGTTTTTTAAGTGTCCTGTTCAGCGGTAAATTCATTCATATTGTTGACCAACCTCCAGAAAACTTTTTAACTTGCAAACCTGAAATTCTATACCCATTAAAACCACTCTCCATTCCCCTCCTCTCTCCGGCAACTACTCTTCTACTTTCTGTCTCTATCAGTTCGACTACTATTAATAGAATGACATAGTAATTTCTTCTTTGTGACTGGCTTATTTCACATAGAAAGATATCCTCAAAGTTCATCTATGTTACAGCATGTATCAGTTTCTTTACTTCTTAAAGCTGAATAATATTCATTATAAGTATATAACACATTTTGTTTATTTATTCATTCCTTCCTTGGACACTTGGGCTGCTTCTACCTTATGGCTATTGTGAATAATGCTGCCATAAATTCGGTGTACAAGTATCTTTTTCCAGTCCCTTCTTTCACAGACAGTGCTTTTTGGACTAAAGTATTCTTAGCGAACTGGAAGCAAATGGGAGGCAGTTAGCATATACTGTGTTCAATTTTCACAGGGCCTAACTATCTGTGATGTTTATTCTGCGATTGTACCTGTCCTCCTGCTGAACTAAGATTATTTTATATTCTGGTCTCCTCAGGAGACATTAATCGCCACACTTCGATTTAGCTACCTTCCACAGCTCCCTTACCCTCAATTAGGGATTTGTCGGGAGTAATATTGGGCCAGTCTGAAAATGGCTGCTAGGAACCCAATCAAACCCTCACAAACTTTCTCCGACGAGACTGAGCGCCAACAAGCAATCTTTCTCCAGTCTCTGGAATAACGCCTATCTGAAGACACTAACAGATCAGCACCCCGACCTCTTTCCAGCAGCATTGACAAATCCCACCCACCTTGGCTCTTACCAAAGGATTCCCCTTCCCTGATTGGTCAATGCCCCATTACCTTAGACTAAAACTACAGAACGTTCCAGCACTTTCTCAAACACGGATCTATTAATCTTGCCTACTGCCATTCCATTTCAGTGAGAGCCCTCCAGGCTCACCTATTGTCCCGCCGCCTTCGATCCAGTTTGATAATGTTCTGATTGCGGAGCCCCGGAGGGTGGGGGCTCCTTCAACATCCAAAATGCGCAGCTGGTGTTCCCCCACCCCCCACCCGCCCCGCCCTACAACTTTGAGCGGACTCCGGTCCTACCATCCCGATTGCTTACTAACCCATGAGGTCAAAGGCAGCACCCCCATTGTAACGCGTTTAGGGGAGCAGCGTCAACACTGCCGCCCCCACCCTGCCTCCCTCCCTCCCAGCCCCTCCCAGCCCCTCCCACCTCCTCGCACCGACCCCACCCTCCCCGAAGCCTTGCCAGCCTCAGCAAGCCCCAGAAGAGTCTGGAGAGTTCTGGGAGGGGCGGCACCCTGGACGCCGATTGGTCCCAGAAAGCCTGGAGGCAGGACGCGAGACGAAACCCCTGGAATATTCCGGACCTGGCAGGCCCGCAGGGCTCCGCGATTGGCCGAGGACGGGAAAGGCGGGGCCGGACGAAGCGCTATAAACACAGAGCCGCCCAGCCGCTGACAAACAGCAAACCTGCCGAAAAGACAGCAGGCGCTCCTGTGGCGTCCGCCAGCGCAACTTTCGCAGACCCACCGCGTCCGGATCCCGCACGTTCTCGAGTTCGCAGCTTCAGAAAAGACCGAGCTCCTCGTCGCGGATCCCGACCGCCTTTCACAAAGCCTGAACCTGAGCGCGGGGCAAGGGAGCAGGACAGCGGCATGGCGAAAACCGCGGCCATCGGCATCGACCTGGGCACCACCTACTCCTGCGTGGGGGTGTTCCAGCACGGCAAGGTGGAGATCATCGCCAACGACCAGGGCAACCGCACCACCCCCAGCTACGTGGCCTTCACGGACACCGAGCGGCTCATCGGGGATGCGGCCAAGAACCAGGTGGCGCTGAACCCGCAGAACACCGTGTTCGACGCGAAGCGGCTGATCGGCCGCAAGTTCGGCGACCCGGTGGTGCAGTCGGACATGAAGCACTGGCCTTTCCAGGTGATCAACGACGGAGATAAGCCCAAGGTGCAGGTGAGCTACAAGGGGGAGACCAAGGCGTTCTACCCCGAGGAGATCTCGTCCATGGTGCTGACCAAGATGAAGGAGATCGCCGAGGCGTACCTGGGCTACCCGGTGACCAACGCGGTGATCACCGTGCCGGCCTATTTCAACGACTCGCAGCGCCAGGCCACCAAGGACGCGGGGGTGATCGCGGGGCTGAACGTGCTGAGGATCATCAACGAGCCCACGGCCGCCGCCATCGCCTACGGCCTGGACAGGACCGGCAAGGGGGAGCGCAACGTGCTCATCTTTGACCTGGGCGGCGGCACCTTCGACGTGTCCATCCTGACGATCGACGACGGCATCTTCGAGGTGAAGGCCACGGCCGGGGACACCCACCTGGGAGGGGAGGACTTTGACAACAGGCTGGTGAACCACTTCGTGGAGGAGTTCAAGAGGAAGCACAAGAAGGACATCAGCCAGAACAAGCGGGCCGTGAGGCGGCTGCGCACCGCCTGCGAGAGGGCCAAGAGGACCCTGTCGTCCAGCACCCAGGCCAGCCTGGAGATCGACTCCCTGTTCGAGGGCATCGACTTCTACACGTCCATCACCCGGGCGCGGTTCGAGGAGCTGTGCTCCGACCTGTTCCGGAGCACCCTGGAGCCCGTGGAGAAGGCGCTGCGCGACGCCAAGCTGGACAAGGCCCAGATCCACGACCTGGTCCTGGTGGGGGGCTCCACCCGCATCCCCAAGGTGCAGAAGCTGCTGCAAGACTTCTTCAATGGGCGTGACCTCAACAAGAGCATCAATCCCGACGAGGCCGTGGCCTACGGGGCGGCGGTGCAGGCAGCCATCCTGATGGGGGACAAGTCTGAGAACGTGCAGGACCTGCTGCTGCTGGACGTGGCTCCGCTGTCACTGGGGCTGGAGACGGCCGGGGGCGTGATGACCGCCCTGATCAAGCGCAACTCCACCATCCCCACCAAGCAGACGCAGATCTTCACCACCTACTCGGACAACCAGCCTGGCGTGCTGATCCAGGTGTACGAGGGCGAGAGGGCCATGACGCGGGACAACAACCTGCTGGGGCGCTTCGAGCTGAGCGGCATCCCCCCGGCCCCCCGGGGAGTGCCCCAGATCGAGGTGACCTTCGACATCGACGCCAACGGCATCCTGAACGTCACGGCCACGGACAAGAGCACGGGCAAGGCCAACAAGATCACCATCACCAACGACAAGGGCCGCCTGAGCAAGGAGGAGATCGAGCGCATGGTGCAGGAGGCTGAGAAGTACAAAGCCGAGGACGAGGTGCAGCGCGACAGGGTGTCTGCCAAGAACGCCCTGGAGTCCTACGCCTTCAACATGAAGAGTGCCGTGGAGGATGAGGGACTCAAGGGGAAGATCAGCGAGGCCGACAAGAAGAAGGTGCTGGACAAGTGCCAGGAGGTGATTTCCTGGCTGGACGCCAACACCTTGGCCGAGAAGGATGAGTTTGAGCACAAGAGGAAGGAGCTGGAGCAGGTGTGTAACCCCATCATCACCGGACTGTACCAGGGGGCGGGCGGCCCCGGGGCCGGAGGCTTTGGGGCCCAGGCCCCCAAAGGGGGCTCTGGGTCCGGCCCCACCATTGAGGAGGTGGATTAAGACTTCTTCCTCAAATTGTTTGTGTTTGTGTCGGAGACTGTTGGGATTCAGGACTCTTGCATTGCCTTCCATGTCTGTTTCATCAGCTCTCAACATTGCCAGTTGTTTGCTTAATTTCAACTGTCTCTTTTGGTGAATTCATGAAGTTCCTTTTTTCCTAGGGTCTAAAGGTAGCAAAAATTTATACTGCTATCGTTTGTGCCTTTCTTTTTCGTAATATCCACACCGAACTCGGGCCTTTTTTTGTTATGTTGTTTTAACTATTTTCTGCTGAGTAAATAAATTGAATAATTTGATTGCTTCTGTGTTTTATTTTGAGGTTAGAGTCTTTGTAGGTTGTGTTTTTGGTCTAAAACTGGTAATTTGTATCTTAGATAATGGTCCAGGATCTGGAGAAGTAAGTTTATATATTGCACTGTGATCTCTTTCTTTTAGGCAAATGGCATTTTGGGGAGATTTTTTTTTTTAAAACTGTTTATTTTGAGTGGGTTGGGTCTGTGGGTGTAGAAAAATTTAAGGGCTACTGACCTAGTGGCCTCAAGTTTGGTGAAGGGGTTGACCCTGTGTAAGGGTGGCCTGGCAAAGGGGTATGGGGTGGTGTTCCTGGAGAAGCTGACAAAAGACAGAAGGGAGAGGCAGTTAGGTGGGAAGGTCCTGGCTGCCCATTCCCGTAAGTTCACCTGATATGTCAGTCATGCTATGTAATCTGGTTTCAGCATGAAAGAACAGGTGAATCCTAAATTGGCACTGGCTTGCCCAGTTAGGCATTACCCACGCTGACCTCTCTTTCTCATTTGTTAAAATGAAAGTCTGGCCTGATACCTCAGTCTATAGTTCTCATTTCTGAGAGGTTACTGAGATAGAAGTGTCACATTTCTGCCAATGGTTATTTACGTTTTAAATACCCAGTGAGTAGGGGCGCCTGGGTGGCTCAGTTGTTAAGCGTATGCCTTTGGTTCAGGGCATGATCCCAGGGTCCTGGGATCGAGCCCCACATCGGGCTCCCTGCTCAGCGGGGAGCCTGCTTCTCCCTCTCCCACTCCCTCTGCTTATGTTCCCTCTCTCGCTCTCTCTGTCAAATAAATAAATAAAATCTTAAAAAAAAAAAAGTACCCAGTGAGTATCTGCAAGGAACTGTCATTGAGTTTGGTGCCCCAGCAGAAGGACCTAATATTTCAGCGCTCTTATGTACCAGGCACTGTTTTAGGGCCCTTTATGTTTATGAATCCTCATTCCACGACACTGAGTTTACGTAGTGAACACATGGGAGAACTTAAAAGTTACTGGCTTAACTAAAATTACTTAAGTGGTTAAAAAATTTTCCAGTTTGGCAAAGATGTTAAACCTGGATTCCAACTCTGGTTTCATCAGTTTTTGCCAGGCTGTCCCAGGTTCACGGTACCTTTTTTTTTTTTTTTTTTAACTATGCCTGGTTCTGGGTTGGTTTTAACTTGGGTTTCACAATCATTACCCCTTTGCCTTTACTTTATGGGATCCCAAACAATAACATCAGATAAACACTAGGATTGATAACAAAGGCTTAGTATTTGTTAACCTAGAAGAGGGGGAAACTTAGAAGAGGGGAGGCCTACTACAGGTTTCCTTCCTATGCACTACCTTCCCTTTGAGATACTGCATATCCTAGCTGGTAGCATTCTAGAAATAATCCCCTTCACCACCTCGTTGGAAAAGGCCCTGCTGCAATCTTCAAGGCTTGGGGAGTGAACCCCTTTAAAAATCAGTTGCATCTGGAGGTTACAAAATTGTTTTGGAACAAGATAGAGATGGTGGTTGCAGATCATTGTGGATATACTTGGTACCACTGAATTGTCCACTTCGTTATTTTTTAATTTTTTATTTTTTGTAAAGTAATCTCTACACCCAACATGGGGCTCGAACTTGTGACCCTGAGACCAAGTTGCATGCTCTTCAGACTGAGCCAGCCAGGTACCCCTGAATTGTGCACTTTAAGATGGTTTTTATGTTATGTGAATCTCACTTCAACAACAGAAACAATTTTTAAAAAATGGTCTCACTCAACATTCCATAAAAGCATTTTCTGAGTTTATGTGTTCTTCAGAGCCCACCAAACCTTTTAGTAAATAGTAGCCTCTGAAGAAAATCAGTATTCTGGGAATGGCACATACATGTGGACTTTGTCCTGGAATATGGAAATGGAAAACTAAGAGACGCTTATAAAGGCACTTTTAACCTTCAAGACAGTTGAACTGTAGGGCTATGGACTCTAGCTACAATGTAAATCAGTCTTCACGAGGATACGCATTTGCTACAGGACCTCCTCTTCAGAGCTGCAGGAACATTTTGTGACTGTCATTTGCAAATAACAGTGACTTCAAGCCAGCAGCCACTACCACTACTTAGGAGAGAGGTGGCAGGGGACAGGGAGGGTGGATGAAAAAGGGTGGAGATTGGGAAGGACCTACCAAACACCTTTGATCAGAGAGTTTAGGGAAATCTCCAGAAATAACCCTGGGGAAAATAAGTTCCTATGGCCTGATTAGTCGTTATTGAGTGGGTGCTTTATTAAGAAATCAATATAAGAAGTTATAGCTGGCATACCCTTGCACTGAGGACTGAAATAATCACTTTGTAACATCAAAGGAGATCAGGCTGATGAAATTGTAGATTTTTTTTTTTTTTTTTTTAAGATTTTGTCAGAGAGAGAGAGAGTGCACAAGCAGGAGGAGCAGCAGGCTCCCAGCTGAGCAAGGAGCCCAGTGGGGTACTGGATCCCAGAGTACTGGGATCATGACCTAAGCCAAAGGCAGACACTTAACCAACTGAGCCAGCCTGGCATCCCAAAATTGTAGATTTAAAGCAAAGAGAATGCAGTGCCATCCCTGGAGAAAGAATGTCTTGGGTAACAGAAGAAACTTTGGGGGTAGGAAGGTACATCGAGGAAACATAACTGGATGAGGAAAGAATGTTTTAAATCAAATACCTTCCCTAATTCCTTTCCAGTCCCACCTATCTCCCTATGCCAGCCCTCAGAAGGCAAGTGGCTATGGTAATGCAATTGATTTTAAATGCTTTTTGAATCCAAGATACTGCT